ACCTCATAATCTGAATTCCATGGTTATTTGCGCGCTTGCTTCTCAAATCGTAAAAAGAATTGGAGAACTATGTCTTTGTATTCCAGCCACTACAATTGTACCAAGTGACCGGAAGCAGAGTCTGATGACTCCAAGGTACTAAGGTGGCGACCGTTTTCTTTCTCATAATTTTCAACCATTCAGCCTGCCTTCGGTGTTTGTGAACGTGCTGGAAAACATCATCTGTCGCAAAATCGATGCACATATTGGGCCAGCCAAAATCCAGCCCAGCGAAAAACATGGCTTGATCAAAGGCAAATCGTGCCTCACTACCCTCATGGTGGCACGTGCAGCTTGGTGCAAAGCCAAACAAAAACTACTGCTGGTACATGCGGCCTTAATTGACCTAAGCAAGGCATTTAATAAGGTCGATCAGGGGCTCCTTTTGAATATTCTCAGTAATTCGCCCATCCCAAGGGTTGTAGTCAAATGGATCTAAGGGTAACTGTTCGCTAGACAATGCCGGTTCAGGATCGGCGAAGAGCGTTCGTCTGAATTTGATGTTCGTAGTGGCGTACCACAAGGGTCACTGCTGGGTCCCAGAATATTTTCTATATACGTTGCAGATATCCTATCAACAATTTCGTCCCCATGCCTTCTGTTTGCGGACAACCTCAAGGTCTTACCTGTTATACATATTTTTTGAAGACACAACGACTTTTCAAAATGACCTTGGTGTAATCCACGAGTACTCATTGAAGATTAAAATGCCGGTCAACGTAAATAAATCACACTTGCTGATAATTGAGAGAAACCGGGACCACCCACCATACACAATGGGAAACACGACACTGGCCGCTGTTAGGAGTACTCATAAGCTAAAAATCACGTTCAGCCGCCCGACCATGTAGTGTAGACTGTCCGCTTGCTTCCCGTGGTCGAAGGGTGAGATGACCGATATCAAATATGTACAAAGGCTGGGGTCAAGAATGATGCCCGAAGTTAGCCGACTGACATATCCGGAGCGCTGCAAAGCACTGGACATGTTTACTCTCGGTTTTCGACGCTCAAGAGGCGACCAAATCATGATGTACAAAATGATCGTTTGTAATGACATCCTGGAGGTCGCACAGTTCTTCAAACAGGCCGGGGATATGCCCACGCGCGGACATTGCTACAAGCTGGTGGTGTTACGGACTAATGGGTGCCCGCACATCTTTGGACTCTTAAGGAGCGCCGTGAATGCATGGAACAACCCCCCGCCCGATGTTGTTGCTGCTGACACAGTTGCCAGTTTCAAGAAGAACTACGATGCTTTATTTGAATTTTGATCTATACCATTTACAGGAGTGCTCTTGACTTGATGGGAGGATTGGTCTAAACTAAAACTCTCATATTTTCGGTGGCTGCAAAGATGTGGTT